ACCGGTCGGGCGGGAAGCAGAGATGGGACTTCCCTCTTTTTGGTGAGTGGATTTGTGCATGGTAGCCATGATTCCTTCAAAACAAGAAAGGGAAGATGAAAACTCAGGTGAAAGCTTTGATCTGATGCGGCACTAGAACTAGCGCAAAAAAAAGGAACTCTATAGAGGAAGGTAGTTGCACAAAGTGGCAAAGCCCTCAATGAAAGTAAAGCAAGTATATATAAGAAGAGCGGTTGTCATGCCTTCCTCGCGGAGTCCGGGTTTCGACATTCATTGGGAACAACTCATTTTCTTTTGGGAATTGGGTATTTGAATTTGATGAGTCGCCACCTAACGGATTAAGGTGCGTTAGGGCACCTAGAACAATTAACTCATGAAACCAGTTTGCATTACTAGAGATTTGGGTAAGGGCTCTAAATAACCTTGAGGGGAAGGTGTTAGGCACCCCTGGCGGTCCACAACGGTGAGTCCCAGCCGAACTTAATTATGTGAATTAGTCATTTAACAAATAGGCAGACTAAGCACACATATAAGATAAAGGAAATTTGACAGATAAGCAGTCTAAGCACACATATGTAAATAAGATGAGGGAAGTCCTAGGTTTGTTAGCCTATAGGATCACATCTGTACAATACCCGGTAAGCCTTCCTCAACTAGAGGGGTTACACATGGCATTAGCGCACATGTCATCATATCCTTTACTACCCAATTACCTTCCCCTTGGTCATAGCCTAAAGCGTTCTAGCAACCTTAAGATGTATCCTATGCGTGCACTACCCGTCCCTTTACTTATATAGTCCGGAGGTATTTAGGACTTCTAGTTAAGGTGGATCTAGACTCTCCTACAGTAATTAAAAGGAGAAAACTCTAGGCGACAAACAAAACACGTAGGACTGGACCAAGGATAGAACAGTTAAAAGGCTCACATTTTACCTCTACAAATAGAGCAAGTAAGTGCATGTCTCAAACAACGGATTTCAGATATTTCAGGAAGGTCTTAGGATAGGATATCTAGGTGAGCATGATGAGCAGAGAATATGCAGCATGGTATTAAGGCAAAGCGTTAAAGACCTAATTAGTTTGCCTACTAATTTTAAAACCTGTTGAATCTGGGCAGTCGCAAATGAGCAAAGCATAGTTCCACAGTTGTATTAGACCTTGATTACCTATAGGCTTGCCTAGGCATGGATCTGTAATACCCTATAAACATGTTGTCTAAATGCAATTAGAATTCTGAGAATCAGTTTAAAACGGTTCGAGTTTATTAAGTCCTATAGGCATACTGCCGAGGTGTAATAAATGATTTTAGACTTATAGATACTGGCAGCTAAATGCAGAAATTGGTTTTGGAATCCTATATGCATGGCGTCTAAATGCAGCAATTAGTTTTAAAACATACAGAAGATTGATTTAAACCTTGTTAGTATGCAGAAGCTGATTCTTTTCAAGTTTACAGGCAGTACAGATTAATTTTAAAAACCTCCTATAGACATAGTATCTAAATAAACAACATTGTAACAATCTATAGGCATGGTATCTAAGAAAACATCACAGCAAACTTACAGGAATGTTATCTAGAATGCAGGATCAATTTTTGGAACCCTATAGGCATGATGTCTAAATGAACAAACATTGTAACGACTTATAGGCATGGCATCTAAATAAACAAATATTGTAGCAACATATAGGCATGTTATCTACAATAAACAAATATTGTAACAACTTATAGGCATGGCATATAAATAAATAAATATTATAACAACCTATAGGCATGGTATCTACCCTTTCCCAACAGGATATGTATAAGAATTCCTCCCTTTTACTAATTTCCCCAATATCTGTTTACAAGAAATTATTATTACAGACCAACATTAATAATGAATTACAGAAGTGAAATTGCTACAACTATAGGGAGCCCGAATATAGACCCAAAGGATAAACCTGGCAGACTAGGCCTTCAACCAGTCCAAAAATGCCATAACCTCATAGTGCATCCAATAGTATCCTGGTGTGTCAAAGTTCCCAAGGGCCTCAGGGACCCCGGGCAATGCTCACACCAGAAAACTTTCAAAGTAACCCTTTGTGAGCAAGTTTGGAAAGCCAACTCCAGTGTGTCAAAGTTCAGAAGAGTCTCATGGACTCCAAAGCAATGCTCACACTAGAGGGGCAAGAACCTAGGTGTTCTAAGAATAAGAGTTAAAAACAGGATATAGTTTTTAAAAAAAATAGTTTTTGATTCTCAGGAAGTAAGGAGCAAACAGGGTCATTCAATCATTGTAACCCAAACAAAGGTCCCAGCAGTCAAATAGTATACAGAAACAGGGTAACTTAGAGTTTCAACTTAGTTAATTAACTGTCACTAGGTGAGCATTCAGTCACATACAAAGGGATAGTAGGGCTGGGGAGTCATATTGTGATAGGTGAACATTTTAAGAGCATGCTAGTGGAGAAGTAGTCATAGGTCCAGTTTAGAGTAAGGCCCTATTCTGGGCCGGGCCCAGGCCTAAACGGTCCCGGGCTTAGGCGGGCCGGTCTTTGGCGGGCCCGGGCCAAACGGTCCCAGGCTTCACGGTCCCAATGGGTGGAACCGGCCCACGACGGTCCTAAGCCCACATGGTCCCAGGCTAAATGGGCCGGGCCCACGGGCCTAACGGGCTTTTTCGTTTCGGGCAATTTTTTTTTATTTTTTTTTATCTAAGGCAATTTCTTGTAAACTATATATGTATATACTAATATAAATTGCTTATATATAGCTATATAAATAAATAAATATATATATATATATATATATATAGTATAGATAATATGTATAGTATATATATATAATTATATAATAAAGTTTGCATTTAAAAAGTAAATTAACAAAAAAATAGTAAAACTAAATTTTCATGCATAATAAATTAATAATACTTCAAATTANAGTGTTGTTGCGGGTCTTCTGTTTGTGTCCCAGAAAAAAGTCCCTTGTTCTGCAACAAGTGTAGCATGTTATTTGTGATCTGGAACGATTCAGCTTGTATTGCAGGCACAATAATGGCAGTGGCCAGATTGTCAGCTGTGGGTTGTGCCCAGTCATAAAGTGCACCCTCAGGCACAGGAGGTGCCAATTGCTCATTCCTGACGTTCCCGTTGGGGTCGTTTATGTCGCCCATGTCAATTTCGAGTTGGTGTATTTGTTGTGATTGTTGAAGTCTTTTGTTTGCACGATTCAATGCCCGGAATGTCTTCTCCGGGTCCGAGAGTCCTTCAAGCAGTTCTCCAGTCCTCGTAGAATTTCTAGGCATGCACCTGTGCACCCAGATCAACAACCGTCAAATTTTCAATGAAAAAGTTGGTAGAGAGAAAACTGACTACAACAAGAATCTTTGTATTTCTGTCAATGGCAATTGATAATTCCGTTAACTTCCCGGCAACGGCGCCAAAAGTTGATCACGCCCAACTATGGCTTATAAAAAGAACTCTGCGGATGTTGCAAATATAACCCGAGTATTACGCCCAGGGTCGAATCCACAGAGAGTTAACCTATCAACCGCTATCTTCAGACCCACTTAGTCTTCAGAACTAGCTTCCCAAATATTCAAATCTCAGTTGAGTGTTCTTTAATAACTAGCTTGCAAATAACTAAATGGCTGTAACTAAATTAAAAGGGTTGTAAACAATTATGAGAAAGAGCTAAGGCAATGATTTCCCCTATTGATGGAATCCCTTCTGTTTATGCTCATACAAATTTACCCACACATCTCTATCAATCATGAACGCTAATTTTGCCGCAAATCTCTCCCGAGTAATCACAGTAATCTACTATTGCACTCTCCCGAGATACACTAGCTTGCTTTATTTAGCACAATTCAATTTAGATTGCACCCAAGACTTCGTTATTCCTAATCCCGCCTTTAAACCCGCAATTATAGATTCCTCTAATAATTTAGGAGTGGTGTTGTTCAACAATACCCTAAATATGCACTCTTTTCCAAGTTATGCACACTAAATAGGCACAGCTAATTGAGGATCCTGTCAATTAACTACAACGAACACGAAGTTGAACAAATAAAGATTAAACTAGCAATTTGTATTCACATAAACAAGAAGTTCATCACCCAATAGGTTCCATCAACGCCTTAGACAAGGAATTTAGCTACTCATGGCTATGGGAACATAAACTAAGCTTGAATTCATCATAAAATCAAAAGAAAAGAAGAAAGATGTTTAGAGTATTTTCTCACAATCTTTTTCCTTGCTAAGAAACCTAAAAAATCAATACATGCCTCTCTTGGGCGAAGTCTAATGTTTTAAATAGGGTTTAGGTCTAAAAATCCCGTAATTGACACTTTGGTCCCTGAAGTTTACTGCGCCTGCCGCGGTTCTGCCGCGGTCGCGGTAGAACCGCGGCCAAACACCCTCGCGGAATCTCAATCTTCTGCAGCTGCTTCCCACCGCGGTTTTGCCGCGGTCGCGGTAGAACCGCGGTGGATCCAGTTCTCTGAATCTTCGGCTCGTTTTTGCACGGGTCACTTAGCAAATTTCACAGTTGGCCTCTTTTTCATCACTTTTGACTCCAAAACTGCTCCTTAGCCGTCTTTATATATATATAACCTACAAATCATGAAAAGCACTAATAAGATCATTTTGTCATCACTTTTAGCATTAAAACTACACAAGAAGGTGATTATTTAAGGTGTGATTATAGTCAAATTCACCTATTATCTATTGTTAACTAATTTTTTCTAGATTCTACAGTAATAGAGGATACGCAAATGAAATATGAGGAAAAAAACCGTGAAAATTAAACTCAACTATGGTGTGAAAAGTCTCACGGATCCAATGAGACTGTATGCCTTGATAATGAGAGGACATAACTTTTTAATAGGTTTCTTTTGCCTACGAGCATTTGTAAGAAATGCTCATGTTAATGTAAACATTTTTTTATTCTAAGTAAAAACTCAACTATTTTAACTAATTTTCTAGAACCGAATAAAAAAGTACAAATGACAAATTCAAAAAAAAAAAAAAAAAAACCGTTTCCATTTCAAGCAGACTCAATACATACAATGAATCAATCCACTTGGTTTGACTCATTCTGGTCATAATTTACATCCTTTCATGTATTCAAAAACCACCTCCTATACAAATTAAATACATGTAAAAGATGTCTCCCTTTTGGCAAAATTTCCCCAAAATAAACATCAAAATTACACAAATATAAAATTAAAATTAAAAAAGATAAAGAAAAAGAAAATCCTAATTCAAACTACTCTCACACGTGAGCACATGTACCCCGTGCCCACTTCATCGAAAGATAAATAAATGTTTTCCATTTTTCTTTCATTGGACTCGAATTTCTAATTTGTACATAAATTAGAGGGTTAGAATTGGGTAATTGGAAAATCCGACCCGATCAATAGGAATAAGTGACCCGGTTGATGACCCGACCCTTGAGCATAGAATTGTAGAGGGCTGCCCTATTGGCTGGCATTTCTTGCACTTTCCCACTCTTCTTGAATGCATTTGAATCCGAATTATTAGAAGAAGAAGAAGCTTCATGTCCATTTCCATGGCTAAAATTATTATTACAACGAAGTTTTCTGTATTCTTCACTATTCCCACTTGGCTCCACCACATCTTCTGCAAATTTCACTCTCTTCTTCTTTTTCTCCTTCTTCTTCCCATCTAAACAAATTAAAAAAAATCCATTAACATATGAATTTAACTCATATGTACTCTCAGTATAAAAAAAAGCATATTAGGAATAATATATTTTAATCTGTTAGAACATGTATTCCTTCCTTATCATTTTATACGGTGGTATTTGACTGAACATGAAATTTAAAAAAGAACCACAGACTTTTGGCACATACTAAAACTACCTTTAAAACATGTCGTGGAATTGTCTATAGCCACGAGAGTATTTCGTTAAGAATAAAATGTGAATTTTTAAAATTAAAGAATTTTCAAAATATTCAAAAACACTATTTTTTTCTAAAACAGATAAAAAGGAAAGAGTGTCATCTAAAATGAAACAGACAGAAAGATGATAATACATACCTGTGGAGATGCAAGATCGAGGATGATGGAGAATAAGGTTGAAAGAGAATTGATCTGCAGATTTTTGAAGTTTAAGAGCAGCTAAAAGGATCATTGTCCCAGAAACTGCCATGGCTGTAGCTAATACCATACCTTGAGAAGTCAAAATAGAAGACATGGTTGTAGTTAAAAGATGAAGAAGAATTAGAAAACCAAGAAACTATAGAAAGAAGAGAAGAAATGGTAGGGCTTGGTGTTGGAAATTGAGAGAGATCAATGGAGACAAGATAAATAGTGTAAAGTCTTGGAATTTTTGAATTAATTAATCATGTAGCTGAATAAAGTAATGAGGAAGAAGGATTAATTATTGATATCTAATTGCTAGTTTGTTGGACTAATCTTTTTTTGAAGACTATTTGATGATGGCAAAAGCCAAAAAAGCGAATGAAAATGAATGAATATGTAAGCAATAGCATGTGGAATTCCAAATTTATAGGCTTTTGGGAAGAAGAGAGGGTGTGCTATACTATTATTTGTCCTTCCTCGTTATTTCAGGTGATGCACCAAATTACAAAAATAAAAGGACTGAAATATTAATTCTTATATGTAGTATAATTATTTATAATAGAAATTATACCGAAAGAATTAAGATAGGATAAAAAATTAATGTGATTTAGATTATCAAACGAGACATTAAATTTTATTATTCAAATGATTTAACAATTTAAGATTTTGTAGAAATATATAACTACATATTTCTAAGAATTCTGCGGAATATTTAAGAATATTATAAAGCAAAAAAAAACTGTTATATAAATTAAAACAGGTGAAATGTGCTTATGTTGATCGTGTACAATACGACAATGCCATGTTTGAAAATTATAGTGCGAATGTATGATGTATTGCTTGCCAAACAATTTTTTTTTTCTTAATTCATTATTCTTTTCTATTGCTTTTTGTAACGACCTGATCGGTCGCCTGATCGGTCGTTTTGAGAACTAAAGTCCCGTTCAGCTGTATAAGGTCTCGAGCAACTTCTTATTATGTGTTATGACTTGCGCGTATGGCCGAGTTCATTTTTCGGATGATTCAGGGTCAATTTGAACGAAAGATTCTTATTTTAGGAGCTTAAGCAGTTAGAGTTGACCGGAATTTGAATTTTGTGTAAAAGACTCCGAAATGGGGTTTGGACTGTTCCAATAACTTTGTATGGTGATTTTGGACTTAGGCGCGAGTTGTAGAAGTTGAAAGTTCATAAGTTCATTAAGTTCGATTTGAAGTGTGGTTCGTAATTTTGACGCTATTTGATGTGATTTGAAACCTCGAGTAGGGCCGTGTTGTGTTACGGGACTTTTTGGTACATTCGGACATGGTCCTGAGTGGCTTGATTGAGTTTCGGATAGGTTTAGATTGTGTTGCGCTCGTTTTTATGCTTCGGCGTTGTTTCTTCAAGCATATATGGAACAACATTAAGCAAATGAGCCCCAAATTCAGTTTTTATTGAACTATTAGATTCGTATTGTAATTACGGGTCCATAGCAAAAAGAATCATCGAATTCAGACATCGTATGAGAGAGTTATGCTCATTGACGTGCCGGGGGATTGCTGGTTTCTGGTATGGTCGCAATTGCGAACATTTTGTCGAAATTGCGACATTTTTCCAGCCATGTTCTTACTCACAATTGCGAAGGCTTCTTCGCTTTTGCGAGGGTTCACAATTACGAATCCTGGATCACGAATGCGATATTTGCAGCTTGTTTTCAGCAGTATACTTAGGGTTTTTGCTTCATTTTGTGATATATTTGAACCCTAGGTCCGAGAGTGGACAATTTTGAGAGAGGAATTTCATCTACAATTATTGGGTAAGTGCCCTTGTTCAATTTCTATGTATACTTCATGATTTTATTTGAGTTTAAACATCAAAATGGTAAGAATCAAAGTGCAAAATTAGGAAACTTATAAAAAAATTCAAACATGAATAATGAGGATTTGGAAGGTGATTCGTTATCGGAATTTGATAATTTTGGTATTGTTGAACTCGTATCGGAATGAGTGTTCGGATTTTATTAATTTTATCGGGTTTCGAGGTGTGGGCCCGGGGGTTGACTTTTTGGTTTTTGTTAAAGATTGAGGCTTTATTATCCGGAGCTTGTTTATTATGAGTTTTATTTATGATTTGAAGTTATTTTGGCTAGATTTGAGCCGTCCGGAGGTTGTTTCACTTGAGAAGTTTATTTTAGAGTAACGGTCTAGCTTCTTCGAGGTAAGTATCTTGCCTAACTTTGTGTGGAGAACTACCCCATAGGATTTGAGTCTTTGGTGCTAATTGTGTCATGTACGCGAGGCGACGAGTACGTGCTCGGGCTTAGTTGTGGAAACTTGACCGTTTATGGCTCCTAGGTTCTTAAGTTCATTAGATGTGAAGTTGTTTTGTTTTGTTAAATCCCCCATTTACTAAATTCACCTTTATGTGTCTTATTTGTAATTAATTGCTCCATGTTTTATCCTTATTGTCGATTACACTCTTATGTGCCTTAACGGAAGTTGTTGCCTCTTTTTTTGCTATGTTATCCTTTCCGTAATTATTTATCCTTGATTGAAATTATTATTATCTTTTCCATAATCTGCTTATCTTTAATTAAATTTGCTGAATCTCTTCCGTACTTGCTCCAGTAAGTGATGATTTGGAAGTTCTTAGGTTCTTAGGCTCTTATGTTACTCTTAATTGGAGTCATTGATTCATGTTATCCCTTTTATCGTTGAATTGTACTTATGTAGGATCATTGCCACACAGTATCTCTTCCTTGTTGAGCTATTGCTATGTTGTACCATTATCTCTTGTTGTGTCTTTCCTTGTGTTTGTTGTTCCGTCTTTTGTGTTCTGGAGTTCTTGTGTTGATTTACTTGCTGTATTCTTGTGTTATTATCGTTGTTGCTGTGGTATTCAGTGTTGTGTTTACACGAGGTTTCTGCCATGCGGATTGTTATTGTGGTACGAGGTTTTTGCTGTGCGGGTTGTTATTATGGCACGAGGTATCTGCCGTGCAGATTGTTATTGTGGCACGAGGCTTCTGCCATGTGAATTGTTATTGTGGCACGAGGTTTCTGCCGTGCGAGTTGTTATTGCGGCACGAGATTTTTGCCGCGCAGATTGTTATTGTGGCACGAGGTTTCTGCCGTGCGGATTGTTATTGTGGCACGAGATTTCTGGCGTGCGGATGTTATTGTGGCACAAGGTTTCTGCCGTGCGATTGTTATTATTGCACGAGGTTTATGCCGTGCGGTTATTATTATTTGCACGAGGTTTTTGCCGTGCCGTTGAGATTTATTTACGATTTGAGACTACGAAGCAGTACCTCGGGAGGGATCTGTTGTCATTTTCCCCATTTTCTGTGCACTTGTCTTTGATTGTTGTCTTCCTTAGCATACTACTAACTGTTTTCCTCCGTGTTACTCTATTTGCTCAGTTCTATGTAGCTAACCTTGTTGTGCTTGTCGTAACATCCATTCATTGTGTCTCATTTACACTGTACATTTCGTGGTGATCGTTTCTTATGTGTCATTCCTTATCTCCACTCTTACTTGTGGACTTGAATTGTGGTAGAATACTTGCACAAGCATACACGATGATCACCCACATCGGTTTAAGGAGATGAGTCCTGATGTTATTGACCATCATATGTACTCTTGTCTACTTGCCTTCTGTGTGAGAGTTGTCATCTTGGCACGTGAGTCATCCGTGCGGTTATGGATTGAAATGTGGGCACACGGTGCCAAGTGATTAGGGTTCAAGAATTTGGACCCGTGAGTTGTGATTATGAGGTTCGGTACCTCGTGGAAATGCCTGAACAAATCTGGTGTGAGAGCGGTTGTTCCTATTGTAAATGCTTAATTTTTGCCATGTCTTTTTATTCTATATATATATATATATATATATATATGTGTGTGTGTGTGTGTGTGTGTGTGTGTGTGTGTGTGTGTGTGTGTGTGTGTGTGTTAGATGTATATAGAATACGTGTTGGAACGAGTTTACCGAATCGACGAACAACTTCTTGAAAATTGAAAATCGTTGAAGACTTGAATACTTCAATTCACCAACTTCACAATTTTTCACGAAATTGCAATAATAAAGTAAGCAATTAAAGAAGAGAATTAGATATAGATTGAGAGAGATTGAGAGAGATTGATGAATTTGTGAGTAAAAATGAAAGAATGAGGGGGTATTTATAGTTGAGAATTGGGAAAAAGTGTAATTATATAAAGTTTGGGGTTAAAATAAAGTTTGGGGGCCAAATGGCTATTTTTTAGGCCCGACTGAACCGGCCAGGCCCGCCTGCCGGTCCCGGGCTCGTGGGCTATTTGTGTAGGACCGGCCCGCTACGGGCTTAATGCACCATTTGGGACCGGCCACTGAGACCGGCCCGTTAGGACCGTTGGCCCGCGGTCCCGGGCCGGGCCCGGCCCACAGTACACTCTTAGTTTAGATATAGGCAAGTATACAGATTTGCTGAAAACAGAAGCACATAGGTCCGGCTAAAACAGGAGTAAACAGATTGAAAACAAGACACATGGGTTCAATCAAATAGAAGTAGGTACGTTATTGCAGTAAACATATAAGTAGACATACTATTGCAGCAAACACATTAGTTTCGTTAAGCAGAAAGAGGGCATGTTAATTATAAGGGAGCATATTGAATTGCAGGAAGCATATAGTCTAATTGAATGGCAGTATACATGCTGATTAGGAACACTATGAAGCACATAGGTTTAATTAAAGATAGGCAGGCTGATATAGAGATCCTACTGGTTTAATAACAGGAAAGTGATTATGTTGATAACAGGGCACATAGTTGAATTAAAATAGTAGTAGACATGCTAAGCAGGAAAACATACAGGTCCAAAAGAAGTCATACTGATTGTAAAAGAAACACATAGGTTTAATTGAATGGTAATAGCGAGAGCATACCAGTTAAAGAAGCAGAAACAGAAGGTAAAGTAGGCAGGATTCAACAGTCTAGTCTTGGCTTTCAGCCGACTAGACAAGCAATGAACACAAGTAGCAGAGAGAGATGAGAGCAGAGTTTGTGTGTGAGTGTGTTTGTGAACTGTTGTTCGTGTTTGAAGAATCAGAATGAGAGGGTATATATAGCACTGAGTGTGGTAAAACAAATAAGGTAAAGAAGAAATCACAGTCTGTAAAACAATCAAATAAAATCAATCAGCCAATTAGGGGATCAATTCTTGTGGAAAGTCCGGAAGAGACCCCTTAAATTGAAGAGAATCAATTAACGGTACCGAACTAAGGCTCAAATAAGGCAAGTGATCAATATCGTACCATATAGGGAGTCAGTAAAATCCCCAAACTGTACTGATAATTAATTAAGGCAGGTATAATTAATCAAGGTCACAAATAAGGAAATAAGTAAAAATCCCAGAAAATATCAATTTTAACGGGAAAATTATTCGAATCCTTAA